TGATAGAATCTGATAAGGATCCAATGAGCTAATACATTAAAGCAGTGGTTGACATAGTGGATATTTAAAATTGTAGGTGGAGTCTGCATGTGCATCTACAGATGATAGAAGTGTGTTCTGGGAAATGCGTAGTTAGACTATTCCATTACACACTCCTAAATGGTATGGTCTCCTCCATAGCCAGGCTATGTGCCGGAGACGCAGACTGTCACTGACAGAAATGTTGTTATGAAGCACATGACTCTATTGATTCACATTTACTAAGTATCAAACACTGTGCTAAGAACTTGACGATAACCTTGAGAGCAAGGTATGACTAAAAAACAAATTAAAGGTGAGAAACTGAGGCTAAAGGAAGTGACATGATGTGAGCTGACTCTTTGCCTAATTCTAGAACCTCTACCCCAAGTAGATAAATAAGATCACAAAGGTGACCTGTGCTTAGTATAGATTAACAGCTCCCAGCCAGAGGCAATTTGCCATGCCAGGGATAGCTGACAGTGTCTAGAAGCATTTGGGGTGTCACAAATGGGGGCAGGTCTTACTGGCATCCAGTGGGTAGAGGCCAGTGAAGTTATTGAACATCCCTCAGTGCACAGGACAGTCCCACAGCAAAGAATTATTCAACCTAATTGGCAAAAGTGCTAAGGCTAAGAACCCATGGGCTGGAGCCTCCCGGACAGAGCTCGACACATTGGGGAGGGTGAGTAAGCATATTTCAAACAGGACTAGTGACTGGACACCAAGAACAGCAGACTGGCAAGTGAAGAAGTCCTGGGAAATGATTCAGCTCTCCAAATCACACATAGTCTCTGCTTGCCACATGGAAAGGCAGTGTGCCCAACATTGCAGGAGATGAAGGGATGTTTGAAAGACAGAATCCCCACTTCCTAGACCCTAGGGATGAAGTAGCACTGATTCAAGGTTAGGGAAAAGGAGGAGGACCCAAGGGGCTGAGTCACTCTAGACAACAAAGGGAGTTGGTGGAATCACTCCATCCCATTCTTTTATTTCTTGAGTGAGAGGCACAGAGAAGGACCCAGAGCCACAAACAAAGTGGATCAACACCAGAGAGCTCCTACAGAGGCCATCACCACCCCCCCAGTTAATTATGCACAAAGCATGAATGACATACTCCACTAGAGGATGTCTAAGGCAATGTTCCATTGAACCGGAAGGTGCCCAGTCTCCAACTAGGTTAGCAAGTCATCCAACACCATCAGCAGCAGCATCTCTATGTACTGAGCACTTACTCCACACCATTAACTTCAAAATGACCCTATTTTACTGATTGAGCTAACCATATCCAGGCCCAGGCTACCAGACTCGAGAATAACGGCTCTTAGGCACCAGCTGTACTTGCCTCTTGGCATCAGACAGGAGCCTGGGCAGTGACCGAAATGGGCCCATGCCTCGCACTGTACCTCCATGAAGCACGAGTGGACAGCATGCCTGCCCTTGCCGTGCATCTTCATCCAGCACTGATCCACTGCAAAAACCTTGAAGGTCTCGCAGATCTTGGTGCATACGTATATCTGGCATAGAGTAGATGCTCAACAAATGTTTTTTTAGAGTGGACTGAAATGGGGAGGTTGGTTCCTTGTGCGCCACAGATAGACGGCAAAGTGACAACTCCTCCCTGTCCCTGCGATGTACAGGCTCTGTGTTTGGCACTCAGAGCCCAGTAGCGCCAGTGAGAGAAGACAGGGATGAAATCACAATAGCACATGGCAAACTTAGTGTTAGAATCAACAAAATGCTGGGACATTTAGAGCTTACACTCTAAATGCTTGGAGATCAGGTGCCAGGGAGCAAGGAACAGAGAGACCTCATCGGATCTAAGCATTGGGCTAGAACTGGAAGAAACAGGAGGAGCCTCCTGAGAGATCTGGAGTAAACAGTGAGGGGAAAGGCGTTCCCAGTGGAGGGATCTGTGTGAAGAAAGACATAGAGGCAGGCAAGGCAGCTGTGGTGGTGATGGGATTTCATTTGGTCAGAGCCCAGGAGGCAAGACAGGAAGCCTTGTGATATGGACAAATGCAGAGGGCTTGGGCAGTGGGAGTCCAGAACATCCTCTAGATGGGGGCGGATTAGTGTTAGTGGTGCTTCGAAAGGGATTTGCAAGGGAATTATTTACGGTGGTAACAAGCAAGCACTCATTTAGCTTATATCCTACATTATACAAACACGGCATTGAGCTCTGCAAGTTAAGGCCCTAATGCCACTCTAAATTAAATTCATCAGTGTCTTAATTAAGATCTATATTTAGTTCTTAATTAAAGGGGAGAGAAAAATCCACGATGAGATTTGGAACAGAGATAAATCATCTTTCTGCCAGTATAAGGGGCACATACCCAGCCCCTTTCATGACTTGGCCCCCTACCAAGGATGACTGTATTTTAACCCTTCTACCTCCCGCCTTTTCCGCCTTTCTTCCTCTTTCATTACTTCTTTCATTTATTCTACATCTATTCATTGAGAACCTACTATGTTCCAGACACTGAGCTTTGATCTTGGGACAGTATGAAATAAAATAGATAGCCAGGCATGATGGCGCATGCCTGTAATCCCAGCACTGGGGAGGCTGAGGCAGGAGGATCACTGCGAGTTCAAGGCCA